CCGGCGGTCTCGGGTTACACATAAGCCACACAAGGTCATGTGTCCGTGCTTTTTTTGATGGTTACGCTGGGGAAGATGGTTGCCGTGTCATTTTGAAATTTTCACTTCACGTGACAGTATTGTGGCGCACAAAAAAATCTTTTTAAGGAAATTTTTTTGTTAGAAAAAATGAACGGTTTGTTTTGATCATCGTGTACTTCGTACAAAGCTTTAGTTGATTATGTTTTTACTACGTATCTGCTATACTAATGTCCGATCAAAATCACATACGTACGTACGTACGTACGTATACGTATATAGATCATTGCAATTGTTACACGAAAATTATCTATACAATTAGGTCGAGTTCATAGTTTACCAAGATTGTAAAATGGGTGAAACAGACATGTTATCAGCGCAGTTTACCTCTGCATAAACGTATCTTAACAAACATTCAAATATTAAGCTATCTGATGAAATTAAATTAAAGGTAATATTGTCTCTATTTTCTCTTTTGTATGTAAATTTAATTAATCATTCAACTTTTGTTACTCTTAAAAGCTTTACGGTACTTATAAAGCTGCAACGATTGGTTCTTGTAATACTCCAAAACCTTCTTTACTAGATTTTAGAGGTAGAGCCAAGTGGGATTCTTGGAATGAATTAGGTGAAATTTCAAAAGAGGAGGCAAAACAACGTTATATCGATATTTTGGAACAAGCAAATTTTGGATGGAGTAAAGATCGTATGGACAATGAAGAAAGTTCATTGGATGATGATGATGACGATGATTATGATGATGGAAATGATAAAATAGACAATGTAGTATTTTTCTGTTTTCAAATGGTTTATTAATTGTTAGATTTTGGAATCATAGTTGTTCTTACTAGAATGTGGTGAGTAGGAAGCGAAGGCTATTCCACAAGATAGATAGACATATGTTTCCACTTTGTCATATGAAGAAGAGGCAGTGACAAAGTTAGTATTATATACTGCAATTGAATTTGTCTAAGCAATATTTTTTTAACCACATATCAAACATTATTATCAGTAATGCTTTTATTTTTTACTAAGTATATTGACATGACTATTGAAATTGTTTTGTCTACTTATATATTCTGAAATTTCTGTTAAATTTGGGTTTGGTGCAAAAAAAAAAAGAGGCATGCCTTTATCAAGAATACAGAAAATGTTGATTTACTTAGTAAGTTGGCAAATTGTAACATTTAGATTATAATAAAAATTTGATTCTATATTCAAATCAAACTAAACTGTTGATTTGAATTAGAATTGAATATAATTTAAGCTACAAAAATAGTTTAGAGCTATGCTTAATACATTTTTTCTTTTTTTCTAAATAGTGATAATAGTAATATATTTTTATATGCTAAGCAAGATAAGTTATTTGAAATAAGTGAAATATTAGAATTAGGAGAAGCTAATATAAATATTAAAGATGATTAAATAACATTTAATGATTTATTTTTATTTTTACTTTTATTTTTTTTATTCTAATATACAATTAAATGTTTTAAAACTTATAAAAGAATTGTTATTCTTGGATGTTCTATAGAATAGGTGGGCAATATAAGAAATAAGCTTCACTAATGATTAGTAATCATTAATTTTTTAATATTAGAGTTGCAGAGTTGGCAGAGTTTGCTCACCTATTCTATAGAACATCTCATTTTGATAATAATTTATAAAATTATTATTTGTATATTAATTTATTTATTAGTTATTTAATTTAAAATTTTTATTTTTATTATACAGTATATATATTTTAGACAAACAGATATCAGAGGGTGTGGTAACTTAGTGAAGTTGGTAAGTTGTTGTACTCCCAAGTAGCAGGACAAAAGTTCGAATTTCACTGGTGACGAAATTCGAATTTTACAGAATGTGTTACAGCAGATTGTGTGTAATCTGATGGATTATCAGATTTGTAGTTTTGGTTATACCAGCTTGTACTGAAAGAATATAGAACTATAGTGTAATGCAAGAGTTATACAAAACCTGAGTAAAGCGTTTGTGTAAATCTAAGGGCTGAGTACACAGAATTCTGCTTGGTAAGTCTCAAGTAAAGAGGTAGCACAGATCTTTAACAGTGCTATGTAAAAGATTATCACCAAAGATTCAGAAACTAGACGAAACAGAGGTGTTCGGCAAGGCATCATATCAACCAAGCCATCGATGTATTCCAAGAAAGGGATCCACCCTTCTGGGCTTTCTGAATTGGAAGTTTGGAGACTGGTGAAATGATAAACAATCTGTAAAGTGGGTGCTGAGGTTTGGGTAAACTCTACAAGGGCAGTAGTAGATAAAAGTAGCGGCTTCAGCTCACAAGTACTCGTTTTCAGACTTGATGTAAGTTATTAAAAGCCTAGATTAGTCAGATTGTAGGTACAGAAAGCTCTAACAATGATGTTTCAAGGATAAATTAGTCTTAAGGCTATGGTATATATGCGGAACTCTTGACTGATGAATGTAATAGAGTGTTCCGATGACACAAAAGGGCAGTGTACGTTATAGAAGGTTTAAATAGATAATCCTCTAGTTGGGTTATTGGTATGGCAGCTAGTATACAATCTGTGGTGTACAGTTATTTATACGCAGACTACTTAAATAGGTGCTCAAAAGGTGCATGTGTAGCTAGTTATATTTTCTAATATAATTGGGGTTCTGTTGTGAGCTCTCCACCTATTATACTTGAATAAAATCTTTACACCAAAGAGGCTAGTTAATTAAAAAAAAAAAAACAAAAAAAAACAAATAGATATCAGTAATTATAAAATGCATCATAAGTGTCATTGGTGTTAATATGTTTTTGGCAAAAATTTAGGGTTAGGGTGCAACTTTAGAGTAAAATAGGGGTTAGATATAAAGGTCTAATTTTTAGTTAGCATAAGGTTTTGGAGGTATTGAATATTTTTACTTAATATCCCAAAAATGTATTAGCTAGTACCTTTTTGAGATATAGCAACTATAGTATTCAACATCTATAGTACATTTTAGTAAACCCGAATAGATATAAAACTTCTTTGTATTATAGTAATTTATATCTAATATAATTTTAATTATTTTTTTAACCTTCACAATATTATAAGCAAGTAGATTTTTATTAGATATTTAGTAATATATTCTTGGTTAATAAAATATATATAGCTATATATACAACTTTTGGTTGCTTATTTAAGTAGTTCACTTAAAGGTTTTATACTATATGTTATATCTAAAAGATTATCTATTTAATTTATTATATATTTCTATTCTGTATTATCACTACAATCACATTAATCTATAATCTTGTACTGCTTAAATTAAAGACCATCCAAATCAATATCTGCTATATTACTTGTACTCTATTTTTATAGACAATATAATAGAATTCTTATACTATCAGATTATCCTAAAGAAATATAATATGTATCCTTTAATTTTTCTGTTTTACATATTTTCAAATTATGTTTTGAATACTTTTTATCAGGAAATTTTTAAATAAGGTATATATCAATAACCATCGGCAGGGATGATTAGTATCAATTTATATCGATTATAATTGATTGTAATTATTCAAATCTAAATGATTGCAATCAAATAGCATCAATTATAATTAATTGCAATCATTTAGATTTAAATGATTACAATCGATTATAATCAATATTAATCGATGCCAATCACCCCTGCCGATAGTAATTAAAATATACCTTATTTAAAAATTTTCTGATATTAGTAGCAGCAGAAACTACTACTAGCAGTTAGAACTAATTGTTAAACTATACAATTTCAGTATTTGTGCCTTTACAAAGTTCATTCTAATCCTAATATTTGTATCAAACCAGTTTTTATACTGATCTCTTTCT